CCCACTCCAGTTCATCAATATTCATTTCCACACAGATGAACTTTCCAACCAATACGTGGAAAAAGCACTGGACTAAAAACCACAGGGACTCCCTATCCCCGTGACCTTGACGTCCCAACCCCGCTAGGTCTCACTTTTTTCTATTTGTAAAATGAGGTTAGCAATGTTCTCCCCCATTTACCTCACTGGGTGTTGCATACTCATGATGTTTTAACCTGTTCATTTTACTTTGCTAAATAGTACTCACTCTGCACCAGGCAGTTATATTAACTCATCTATTTCTCTTAACAATCCTATAAAGACGGTATTATCATTTTCATCCCCATTTCACAGATGTGGAAACCAACAGCATTTAATGAGCAGACAATACTGAACAACTGTAAATCATTAATGTCAAGAATTTTTGTTTTCCAATCTTAACGTTTATATGGAATCAAAAAAGAGCCCAAATAGCCAAAACAATTCTAAGCAAAAAGAACAATTAAAGAGGCATCACACAGCTTGACTTCAAGTTATACTGTAAGGCTATAGTAACTACACCAGCATGGTACTGGTACAAGAATAAATGGATTGAGCAATGGAACAGAATAGAGAACCCAGAAATAAAACCACATTCCTACAACCAACTGACCTTTGACAAAGCTGACAAAAAAGAAAGAAAGAAAGAAAGAGAAAAAAAATGGAGAAAGGACACCCTATTCAATAAATATGAAAAATAGAGCTGGAAAAATTGGCTAGCTCTATGCAGAAGAATGAAACCGGACCCCTAGCTCTCACCATATACAAACATGAACTCAAGATGGATCAACGTTTAAACACAAGACCTGAAGCTATAAAAATCCTAGAAGAAAACCTAGGAAACACTGTTCTGGACATTGGCCTAGGCAAATAATTGATGGCAAAGACCCCAGAAGCAATTTCAACACAAACTAAAATAGACAAATGGGACCTAATTAAACCAAAAAGCTTCTGCACAGCAAAAGAAATAATCACCAGAATGAAAAGAAACCTACTGAATGGGAGAAAATGTTTGCAAATTATGCCTCAGACTGAGGACTAATATCCAGACTCTACAAAGAACTCAACTCAACATGAACAAAAACAAATAATCCCATCAAAAGTGGGCAAAGGATGTGAATAGACACTTCTCAAAAGAAGACACACAAGTGGCCATCAAACCTATGAAAAGATGCAATCACTAATCACCTAAGAAATGCACCTAAATCACCTAAGAAATGCAAATTAAAATCACAATGAGATATCACCTAACACCGGTCAAAATGACTATTTTTTTTTTTTGAGTCAGAGTCTCACTCTGTCACCCAGACTGGAGTGCAATGACCACTCCACCGCAGCCTTGACCTGCTGGGCTCCAGCACTCCTTCCGCCTAAGCTTTCCAAGTAGCTGGAACTACAGGTGCGTGCTACCACGCCCGGTTAATTTTTTGATTTATTGTAGAGATGAGGTCTCACCAAGTTGCCCAGGCGGGTCTCGAACCCGCGAGCTCAGGCAATCCACTCGCCTCAGCCTCCCAAAGCGCTGGGATTACAGACTGAGCCAGCGAGCCTGGCTCAGAATGACTGCTATTGGAAAGTCAAAGAACAAGAGATGTTGATGCCAGTTGTAGAGAAAAGGGAATACTTATCCCCTGTTGGTGGGATTGTAAACTAGTTCAACCACTATGGAAGATAGTATGGAGATTTCTCAAAAAACTAAAACTGGAATTACAATTTGACCCAGCAATACCCTTACTAGGGATCTACCCAAAGGAAAATATATAAAAGAAACCATAGATGGGCGTGGCGGCATGCATCTGTAGTTCCAGATACTTGGAAGGCTGAGGTGGATCGCCTAAGCCCAGCAGGTCGAGGCTGCAGTGGCCGTGAGCATGTCACTGCACTCCAGACTGAGCAACAAGAGTGAGACTCCAACTCAGAAAAAAAAAGATACCTGTACTCATATGTTCATTGCAGCACTCTTCACAACAGAAAAATAAAGGAACCAACCTAAGTGCCTACCAACAAATGACTGGATAAAGAAAATGTGTGATATATACACCGTGGAATGCTATGCAGCCATCCAAAAGAATGAAATCACGTCCTTTGCAGTCACATGGACAGCACTGGAGATCATCATTCTAAATGAACTGACTCAGAAGCAGAAAACCAAATACCACCTGTCCTCACTCGTATGCTGGAACTAAATGGTCACAAAGATGGTAATAAGAAACACTGGGGACACCCATAAGGGAGGTGGAGAGGGAGGTTAGGGTTCAGAAATTACCTATGGGGCACAGTGTTCACTATCTGGGAAATGGGTCACCTGAGACCCAATCCTCCACCACTACACAATATATCCATGTAAGGAACATGCATGTGTTTTCCCCTGAATCTAAAATTTAACTAATAAATGAATAAATAAATAAATAATGAAAACATATCTGTATAATCACCCTCTAAGACAAAATCAGAAATTACAAGCATTTATTTAACAAGGTATAAGAAGGACCTGTAGAGCCGGGCTCAGTGGCTCAGCCTGTAATCCCGCGCCTTGGGAGGCTGAGGTGAGTGAAGTGCCTGAGCCCGCGGGTTCGAGACCCGCCTGGGCAACTTGGCAAGCTCTCATCTCTACAATAAATCAAAAATCAGCCGGGCGTGGTAGCGCGCGCCTGTAGTTCCAGCTACTCGGAAGGCTGAGGCAGAAGGATCGCCGGAGCCCAGCAGGTCGAGGCTGCGGTAGCCGGGAGCAGCCACTGCACTCCAGTCTGGGCGACAGAGTGACACTCCAACTCAAAAAAAAAAAAAAGAAGAAGGACATGTAGAAATGTTTATATAAGGGCCAGTACGGGGTGACTCACGCCTGTAATCCCAGTACTCTGGGAGGCCAAGGTGGGAGGATTGCTTGAGCCCAGGAGTTTGAGACCAGCTTGGGCAACATAGTGAGACCTCATCTTTTTGATAAATAAATGAATATCTGTTAAAAATGTGTATACAATAAGACTTTCAGTGAACCTTTGTAAGAGTCAATAAATCCAATAAAACTTTTTTTTTTAGAGAACTTTTTTTTCTTTCTAAACTCAAAAGTGCCTAGCATTTCTTCTGCACTTCTGACTTCGATGCCTCCAAATTAATTTCCAACACACTCTCAAGGCTTCTGGGATTCTGCCAGACTATTTCCATGCTTCTCTGTGCTGTGTTTTTCTAGTTATGGACTAAATTGTGTCCCCCCTGCCCCAAATTTACATTTTGAAGTCCTAAAATACTCCAAGATATTTCAGAATGTGACTGTAATTGTCTGTTGTTTAAGCCACACAGTATGTGGTACTTTGTTATGGCAACATATGTGGTTAATGTTATATGTCAACTTGACTAAGCCATGGAGTGCCCAGGCATTTGGTTAAACATTATTCTGGGTGTGGCTGTGAGGATGTTTCTGGATGAGATGCACACTTAAATTAAGCAGGTTGTCTTTCCAAAGTGGGTGGGCTTCATCTAATATATGAAGGCCTATATAGAACAAAAAGCTGATTAAGGGAAAATTCACTCTCTGCCTGAATATCTTCCTGCTGAGACATTGGTCTTCTCCTGCCTTTTGACTCAAACTCAGACTAGAGCTTATATCATCCACCCTCTGGGTTCTCAGGCCTTCAAACAGACAGGAACTATACGACCAGCTTCCCTGGGTCTCCAGCTTATAAGTACATGAGCCAATTCCTTAAAATAAATCTCCTTATATCTATGTATAGGTATATATATAGGTATAGGTATATCTATGTATAGATATAGGTATAGGTATATCTATGTATAGATATAGGTAGACATATTGGTATCTATCTTTCTCTATGTATATCTCCTATTGGTTCTGTTTCTCTGGAGAACCCAGACTAATTCAATGGCCCAGCAAACTAGTACAGTCACTGCCACAATTTTTTGCTTGCAATGTTCGACCTATCGAAATTCTATTCAAACTAACTCATTATTTCAAGCATCTATAACTAGAAGAAAATAATCAAGCATTTATTATGCACTTCCTATAGAATTGTATCCATGGGAATCAAATACTAGATATGGAAACTTTTCTCTTCTTGGAAGTATTACACATAGTAAATAAATACAGAATGATAAAATTAAGGTATCTTTATTTGGATCTAGGCTTTGAGCATCAATAGCTGTTAATGTCACAAAAAGAGTCTATGAACATACTGATGGAAGAACACACAATCAACCACACACCATCATCTTAAAAAAAAAAAAATTGAACCTAAGCCCAGAGCATTTTTATGTGCCTGTAGTCCCAGCTACTTGAGAGCCCGAGGCAAGAGGATTGCATGAACCCAGGAGTTAAAGGTTGCAGGGGCTATGATCAAACCTGCACTCCATCCCAGGCAACAAAGCAGGACTCTACCTCTAAAAAAATAAAAATAATAATAATAATTGAATCTGAATCTGACCAGACCTCTAGATCCAACTACCAACTCACAGAAAATACAGAGCACAGAGGGACGCATTAAACCACATCACGGGAAAGCAAGCAGCAAATGTCATACTGTGGGAAACTGTGGGACAAAAATCTGGTTTCTTAAACAAATGAACGTCAAGAAAAAAATAATAATTTTGACATACTACAAATGGCATAGGATAGTTATGAGATCTCTGTATATTTGAGCATGAGCACTGAAGAAATAGGGTTAA